TTATTGATTTTTTGGCACACGCTGTAACCTTTTTCAACAAATATTCAAATTACTTCTAAAAGTAAAACTTGTTCTTTAAAAAGTACAATGAAAAGTGAAAACCCAAGAAAATCTCTCGCCCCTAATTGAGGTAGAACCTATTTTATTGTTGCAATTTTTAAAGTATAGTTTTAAGGACTAAAGGTCTGAACAATAGTCTACAGGTAAAATTTGTGTATCTTTATAAAATGTACAATTTTTTTTTAAAATTCTCGAGCAAACTTTTTTGTTATTAAGGAAACCTCCGAAAAAACTAAAAATGCAATAATATTGTTTTAAAATGTAATGTTGTCAACTGTTGGTAATAAGTACCATTTATCAACTTATTAATTACCCAAAAATTAATCTTTAATCACTACATTTTAATAACTGCGATTTTAAATATTTTTATATATTCAACATGAATGCCGGTTGATAAGTGGTAATAATAATGTAAAGCACTTTAATATTGTTATTTTTTTAAATAATAGTAATTTTGCAGATTTCCTTCATATTATGTTTATAATTTTTTTTTTAAATAAACAAAAAAATTCAACAGAATTGAACATTAAAAACGTAAATTAAAGTTTTAGTTGATATTCAGTTAAATTTTGCTTATTTTTGAAACTATTAAATTTATTTTTTATTTTTATTGTACAATAAAACACAATATGGGTTGACAATGTCTAGAAATTAGTTTGTGTGATTTTCCTATGTATCATCACTTATTTCAGGAGGGATATTATGTCCATCCGTTTCCACCCTTTTTTTTTTTTTGGTGATAATATTACAAACGCCATTATCGTCGGTCTAGTGCACAGAGGTGGGTGGTAGGTAACCGGTAAGTGCATATTTTTCGGAAATTAAATTATTTAAATAGCGATACATATACCTAATATCCTCCTATACAGGCACTAGAGCCATAGCTCGACGTTAGAAAACAGAAGATTATATTAAATACATTAATGATTTGACATAATAGAATTCTGGACATCTTTTCTGAACATTTGCTTTTTTTTTTAAATGCATTACTTACCACCACGCTTGTGCATTGGACCGTCGATATTATTGTTATCGTTATGTGTTTAATATTTTTATTTGATTTAATAATATATTATATACTTATATTTATATGTTTTTTCAGCATAAACGATTCCGCTTCCTATTCTAATGTGTCTTGATGGATTGCGTAACTCATAAGTAAGTGTACACATTAGTAATCTGTACGTTTGTAACGAGATAATAAATAATAAACATGTTTTCGAATGTGTGTTTAAAAAATTATACTACTGTTTGAAAGTACAGTTTTGATTTAATTAGGTCAAGTCAGCGGTGGTCGCCTGTAGTTTGTGTTTGTCCGAGTACATATTATTATTATAGACAACCGTTTATATACATTTTGTTTTTTGTGTGTGTGTGTGTGTTTCTTTTTACAATTGAAAATATTTACTTAACCGCAACGCGTTGTTGACAATTTGACACAGTAATTACATATTATAAGATGCGCTTTAAGTTAAGACTCGAACCGACGGTTTCTCGGTAATTGAATATACAAGCAATACGCAGTACTGTCCAATCAAGTCAAACACCAATGTTTACACTTGTTAAACATAATTTGTTTACTCAATTTTTTTTTTTTTGGGGGTTATACATTAAACATGTTGTTTAAACCGCACGATTAATAATGCATAGCACACCAACGCTCTAAACGGATTCGCTTAAAAAACAAAAATAGGTTTAGTAAGTGCAATTGACAATGTTTTTTAGGTACTGTTATACTACAAGAACAGTGTCTGTTTGTGAGTAATTCATAGTGAACGTTATAGTTTATAATATGGCCCTCTTGTTGCTGGCCATAATGATGAAATAGTAAAACATCTGAGAGATGTATTGGTTAAATATTTAATACAAACAGTAACTGTCGGTTTAAGTTGTTGTAAATGTGCAGTACATGTGTATCATTTTAGTACTTTTGTAGTTACTATATGCTATAATAACAAATAACATAGTAATAGTCCCATAGTACCTTTTAAATAATATGTCACTTTTTGCTACTCATTTAAAGTTTTTTTTTCAAAATGGGTACATTAGTTTGCTCACACATTATGCCTATGCGTTTTGTTAACAACCATTTAAGTACAAACTAGTATGGTTTGTATCATTTCTGATAAGTCGTATTGGAAACACACATTTGTTTCCAACGTCGTCGAAGGCTTATTTTACTACATTTAATATGGTTTTCTTAACAATGTAGACCAGTGTTCTAAATCGAAGACAGTTAAGACTTCCAATATATCAGTACTCGAATTTCATGAAAATAATTATACTTGAAATTGTAAACACTTGAAACAAAATGTAAATAATTGGGCATCGTTACAGGCGATTGGTCTTTAGGGATAACAGTAAATCGTTTTTGTAAGACTACTATAGAAAATTGTTCAATCTACTTAAAGATATTAAAAAGCGTATGTCGTGTTTAGACTTTAAAGTTAGACTCGTTATTTATAGTTTAATAATTCTTAGTTCACTAATAGAACATTTTCAATTTTCTTACTAAAATTGTCAAATTGTGTGCTCATAAAATAACCTGATTTCATATAAGTCTTTGACATTTTCCTATCCTAAGAATTTCCATTTTGTGTTGCTATTTCTTCAATTTGTGCTTCTTGTGCTCGGGCCTAGAATTATTACGGAATTATTTATGTACGGAGGTAGTCTAATATTATAATTTTTTTTTGATTATTTCATGCATAACATTCATTTTTGATAAAGCTATATCGTCAAGTAAAACCAATGTGTTCTATTAATTATGCTCAAACGCATACCTATTCTGTACCTGGTATGTACACATAACTGATTACACAATAATAACTATTGTGATTATTAATTTTTATTAATTAATAATATATACATATATATATATATATATATATACAGAGATGGGTTACTGTAAAATATATCTGCTATGGAACGGTGTTATCTGTACTAAAACCAGCGTCAGTCCTCAATTGTTGTTCTTTAATTCGAGCACTGGTGAAAATGTATACTTAAGGGGAACGGAACGCACTTATTAAACAAAATTTAATTAAAACCATTTTCTATTTTTCTATAGGAGCCAAAAGGCTGAAGTTAAATTAAGCTATTAGAAAATTAGTAAGATTTATTAGAAAAACTACGACGAAAATAAAAATATAAACGTTGATAGTAAAAATTTGCGTTTTAGACTTTATTTAATTGATTGTGTACAATTTGGCGTTGTCCGTTCAGCTTGTGAAGTTTATATTTTTAGTTATAATAAAACTTTATTTTATTTTGATTCTAGCAAATGACTAGCTAAATAATGGATAATATAAATTCAATTGAAACTTGCTTACATAAATTTAAGTTTTTAATAAATAAATTGAGTTTTAAATATATAAACAATTAATACAAATATTCACGATTCACTAACGACAATAAAATGTGATAATGATTTTACACGGATGCTCCAATTATGTATTTCACAGTCCCGCGGATTAAATCTTTATCTTTTCTAAGATTAAATCCCTGAATCCTAAGAGGTACACTTGTCGGTTAATTATTTGTTTACATAAGTGATTTTTTGAGATACAAATTATTGGCATTTGCCCTAAAAATTAAATTAAATATTTAAATATAGCACATTATACAGAATGTAATAATATTTTGGACGTAGTTATTAATGTAATTGACGATAAAACCGATTAATTGTATACAATTGCATTAAAAAAAATTAGTAATTTAAACAACATAATAGTTTTTTAAACGGTAAGTAGTATTTTTTTTTCCTTAAAGGGGTACATTCCCAGATAACGAGAGAAATGTTTACGAAAAGAGGACAAACAATTTAACAGTCGAGGTCGTGCACGACTTGATAGAATGTATTTTGTTAAATTTTTCAAATAAATCATCAAAAGTAATATACTAATAATATAAGTTGAAATTGGAATTTATCAGTATTTAGTGTATATTTGGGTTGCTAGACGAGTTTGGTGAAGGTATTACAAAAGGAAGAAAAATAAAATGCGAAAAAGGTAGCATCCTGAGCATCTCAAACATAAACATTACCAAGATAAATATCTTCAGAAACAAATGAATTGTTCTGACGACATTCCTAAAGTTAAAAGCATGTATCTTAACACATTTTTGTTAATTCGGCCATTACTTTAATTGCAGCTGATTTTTTTTCTCTCGTTTACTTCTACCTCGTTGTAAAATATTTTAATGTTTGTTTTGCGAGTTGGCCTAATTTGTAGATATTTAAATTTCATGAAAAAATAACAAACCATAATTGTGCTAACAATGTTTGCTTTAGCGCAATTTAACATTGGACAGTGTACCATAATGGAATACACTTAACTTTCCTCGAAGATATTTGTTTTATGTGATAATAGACTTATATTACAGCGATATAGTACAAATATTCGACCAAAAAAAAAAAAACAGATGCTAAGTATTATCAAAGAAGATAAACAGCTGAGAGATAGACATACGAAAAAAATGAAGAAGGATCGATAAAAGCATTTGAGACGTGGTACTATAGACATATTCAAAAGTCTAACTGGGCAGATGGATTAACAAAATATGATCAAGTAAGTACTACAACGAGAAATAAGTGACCAAAGGACAATGATAGATACCATAAAAGCGAACAATTTTCAAGTCCTCGGAGGGGAATCACACCTGGGAAAAAACAGGAAGAGCCCAAACCTAGTGCAAAATATGTTATGGAACCAACTGGGCATGACAGGGAGCAATGGAAGGCAATACCGAAAAGACTGTTTAGCAAAACATGTGGTGACATCTTTGGGCGTGGCCGTGCTCGGCACGTTCCAGGCTTGGTCCCTAGATGTCGCGTCCCGAGGGATAGTCCGGGAACCGACTATTGACGTAATGCCTTGTTCCAGGAGCAGCAGCAGCAGCTGTTGGATCGATGGGCGGCCTGACCCAACGAAAATAAACACACAGTACACACACACACACACAGAGCGGCGTTCTGGTTTTTTTGTATATTTTATTTTTTTCATAGACCGTCGCCGGTGTGTGCGTTAGTCAGTTGTTGTGTGCATCTCGTTTTCCAGCAGTTTATTATTATAAACACACCGTTTGATGAAGGTTTCTGTAAATGTGTTGGTTTTTTTTATGATTTCTATACACCTTTAAAATGCCTCCGTTTTACGCAGTTTAATTGCACACACACACACACACACAGACACACATTCACTCACTTTGGTCGTTTGTTGTACTACGTTGCCAATAAAGGTTGACGTTTTTTTGAAGTTCGCCAAAACGAGGTAAGTCTAAGTAATGCAGTTAGATAATGTATGATAACTTATATTGTTGCGTTTCGTTGGGAATAACCGGTACGGTTAGGTTACCACCTCTTGGCACAATATTAACCAATAGTATTAAATAATAATGTGTTTTTTTTTTTTTAAATTAAATTTAATTTAATCGTTACACGTTAGGAGCTATATGCCCCGTAGTCGCATTTAAGTGTTGACTATTTATATATATATGAAATTATCTTAATAATAATATTATTTTACTGTCCATACATTATAATATATGCAGCCGAGTAGACGCGTTTATTGATTTTGCATGGATTATAATAACAAGATGTACGTGTGCCTACTTAGTTAACTCTTAGGCGTGCACAACGTATTTAGGTGTCTTATTATTATATAGTGGCATTCCTAGTATACAGGCATATTATGTACGCATACCGTACACCTTTGGCGACACGTGCAAGGAGTGTTGTGTACAAAGATATATTATTATTGTGCTATTGTAGCTGCTGTGTAGTACCTGACCGTAGGTCTGGCAAAATCCACCTGCACCCTACCCCTGAATACAAACACCGCGATCCGTACCGGTTTCGTTTATAGATCTTTAAAAAACCGGCGTAAATCCTTCGACCTGGCTTCTGATCACGCACTTGAAAACGTTTAGAACTAGGCCGAGCCGACTAACAGAATGATGAAAACACCCTGGCTATTTCAATAAAATACCTACTTTGATACGCTCACGACCGACGGGTTGCCTATCCGAGTACATATCAGGCGCATATCTTCTTTGTCTAGGTAATTTCCGCGCCCGCCCACCCACGTTACGACATCTCATAACCGTATAATATATAGTTTGACGTGGTCGATAAAAAAGTACCAACTCGGCTTAAAAAACGACTAGTTTTAATAATAGTAATTGCCTTGCATGCTAACGGTCACTTTGGAAAACCCACCAAAATGGTATCGGTCGCTATAAAAAAAATATACCTACAAGACGCGCACAAATCGAATTTTCTCCAATCCACAGAATTGCTTAACTCATCTCTCAGCGGGTAAATACATTTAATTAATATGCCTTTATCGGTTTTACATTGTTTAATTTCTACCTAAACGGGTCTTGCCAGGGACTAGTGTGAGCTATAGCATTGTTTTTGGCAGTTATACCATTATAGTTTAAGGATTAAATGATTTCAAATTGCATTAGCAGTGTATTATTTTTTATTATACTAAAATTATATACACAAGTGAGTATAATATTCTAAAAATAACAAATCTAATGTCACGACAATGTCAACCACAGTATTGTATCGATTTTGGAATGTATGTATTAAGCTGTGTCCTTCGTTGGACACGCGTTATAAGGACTTTAAATATTTTATATACTTTTGATATATTTTTTTGTTTTTTGATCATTTCAATTGACTAAGATTCGAAAGGGTAGTAGGTTTTTTTTATTCAAAAAAATTGTATACAGCATATCTCGAGCAGGCGCTGACTTATTGTTTTCAAAAGGACTTCAAGTACTTACACAGCAGCGCACCGGTGATGATTTTGCAATAGATATAGGCCGTTTCTTCAATATAATATGCTTGGGTAAACGGTTTTTGAACGAGGCAGACGAGTGAAAAATATATGATATAGGCTAAACGACACCACAGGGCTGCTGGCTTTGTATACATTATAATAGGTAGTAGTCGAATGTGTACAAATGTTTTTAAACGAAAAACCATTAATAATAAAACGGCAAAATATTATGCACGTGACACGACGTGTGGATCGATCGAGACAAGGTCGTACACTCATCATTTACCCTCATTCATAATGAACTAGATAATAATAATAGGGGTATATAATAATAATGCAGCCAACATTTTCTATAGCATGCCCCGTGAAGGCTGCTAGGAACTTGGGAGCGATCGGTCGGACTAGGTTAAATGGGGGGAAAAAACCAATACAGTGTAAAATGATGATAGGGTTGACTTGGCTGTTGTAACCGGCACAATGAACTTAGAGGTATGACTCGGTGGTGATATTGAGAATTTTTTTTTTTCAAAACCGTTTTATTCTCTCAAAGGGACGGACGGACGGTATGTTTTAGTTGAAAAGCAGTAAATTTTATATTTTTTTATACATAAACAATTGCCAAGTTTAGTTTAGTATAGGTACACTGATGGATATGTCTATTGCAGATATATAGTTAGCCAATAAAAATAAAACGGGCTTATTAAACATTGAAAACAATCGTTGGAAATTAAAATTGTCTGTTTTACTAAGTATAAGTTTTATTGGTTGTAACTTTTTTTATGTTGTCACACAGGGTTGTTTTTTATTGGGGGGGGGGGTGGAAGTATAACAAAATGGTGTTCCGTGGGTTAGTTTCGGTGACATAATTGGTAAATTTTGGGTGAAAATAACTGCCAATTGAAAAATTCACTTTCAGTAGACTAATAATGATAATTTTATGATAATTGATATAATACTGAGTAGGAAAAATAATGTTGTAATTGAGTTAATGAATATTTTCATATAAAAAAAAAAAAGTCAAGACTGAGAAAAACACATTTCCAAACATCTAATTGTATAAGCTTTGACTAGAACTGGGAAGGTATTGATTTTACAATGATGTGTATTAAAAACGAGAAGGCACAGACAATTCTACAAAGTGCTGTGCTATGCTATTTTTTTTAAGTTTTCATAAATTATGATAAATATACATAGTGTTGCACATTTATTATTAGATGTACAAAAGTAAACACAAACATATATTATCTTACTAACTCGCAGTTTGTTGTCATTATATAATATTTTTTTTTTGCCAAATGTATTGCGACGTTGTGTGTTTAGCAAAAGCAATTAATTAAAAACAAACATGTAATATATACAGCCGTTATTTTTGGCTTAAACATTAAAAAAGCCTAATAGAATTATTTTTATTTAAACTAAAAAAATCAACCAACAAACTAATCAATTGTATGTGGAAATTTATAGTCAAAATAGCGTGTATTTGGTGCATTTTGTTTTCTTGGAAGAAACCCAAAAACTAGACTACACACACTTTTGACTATTTTTACAACGACCGAAGATCAAAATAAACAACACAATTTCGTAGACTTTTCAACTGTATGTCATAATAACAAGTATTTTAACGCGCTCACGGGTCTTGTTCGTAGAAAATTTAATTAATATTTAGAGGTCGACTGACTATTGTGGAAAAATAAACTAAAATTGTCATTATATTACTTCTATTTATAAAAAAAAAAAACAATAAAAATTAACTTGATATTCTGTAAATCCATTCGTGAAGTTTTCTAATGACTAATCGGTCTTTCTAAAAAAATTGGGGTAATATTTGATTAAAAATTAAATTGCAATAAGTGTATAACAAGCGTTCAACAAAATTCTAGTCTTATAAATTGTCTGACAAAATAAAAAATAAAACCTACTACTAATTTAAATAGAATCAGGGTTTCCTAAAATTCTCTCACTGGCTGTGCCTCATAACACGAGATGGTTTATCTCAACCTATTCTGTCTCAACTTCTAGACCACCTCTTATGTATCTTATCGTTTCTTATATTCCAATCCTTCCCAGTCGCCCCACTCGTCCTGTTTTGGCGTTGTCATCTCCGCTACACAGTGTAATGAACTGTAGAGTCCAATACAAACACTATCTTAACAGTATAAGAAGTAGTTAAATGATTAATAGTAATTAAATGATTTAGACTTTAGTAAAACAAATAAACTGCCAAGATAGATTTGATTCAATTTAATATATCACTTTTATAAACAGTACTTGCACGGGTAAAACAAGTAAGAGCAATTGAATACATACTCGCTGTTTCATTGGGGTTTTATAGTACAAGAATGCAAGATAGCATATCCTAATACTTGTGGTAAACAAGTATTAACAACGTCATTTACATAGAATTGAGTACAACAATAAAATGCTTAAATGCTAACTAAGTATTACACCTTAATTAAAAGCTACCCAAAACAACAGTAAGCAATAATGTTTTACACGTGCCATGGTCAATATTGTATCTCAAGGAGATCTGACCATTACAACAGTCATAGGCGCAACTAGGGGGGGGGGGGTGCTAAAGGGACTTTTGCACCCCCAGACTCTAAATTAGCACTTCCAAAAATTCAAGCCCCAATCCAATTGATTTGTACGCATACATTTTAATAATGTTCATACTCTGTTAAAATTTGTTATTTTAGAATATTTTTGTTTTCAAATATTTTATATTGTCAGCTGGTTTCACCAACATTTGTGAAGAATTTAACTTATTGTTAATTATATTTAACAACTAGTTAGTGAAAATTGGGTTTCGTCGAGATTTGTTAGCCTTAACACATTGTTAAAACGATTGTTAAATTAACCACCCGAAATCGGCTTGATAAAAAGTTAATCGGCATGTTAAAATGTATTGTAGTAGGTATAATATTTATATTATTATAGTTCAGAAATTGTTTTATAATTTTTTTTGACCGAGTATACTGGTAATATATAATAGTGAAGATATAAAATCTACTTGAACCCTAAACCATAAAAATTATACACTTCTTGCGTACACGTGTTACGACAACGATGTTGTCCCTTTATTAGGTGAGCAGAAATTATTTTATGTAGGTAGATTAGGTAAAAAGGAATGGCACAGACTTGCATTATAGGTTCAAATATCATATTTTATTGTATTTTATAATTTAGATAATATTATTATTTCTTGCCTGTCCTGATTATACCAACTAGCACCATATAGTGATAATTCTTATCACTATATTTTAATGACCTTGATGACAAACTATTTTTAGAAAAGTATAGACTATCTTAACAATGTGTTAAAGAAATTATAGATAAATTATTTAGATAAAGTATAAACCGAAACGTTAAAAGAAAGTAAAACAAAATGTCAAATAATAACAAACTGACAAATGATATAATACAATCACTTATTAGTTATCACATACCCAGTAACCAATGAGAACGTTGGAATCGAGGTTTTGTTAACTTAACAAAATATAGAATTTGGCAATAATAATGTTATGGTGAAACTTATTTAATTTAACTGGATGTTGAATTAAAATGAATTTGTAACTAACATTGTGTTACGAGTGTATTTAAGAATAGTTGGTGAAACCAGCTGCGTATCTAATAGCTCGAAAATTGATGGTAAGAATAAATTATGATTAGTTAGGTATAATACATAGTTTTAGCACCCCATAAAATGTAGGTCTATAGTTGCGCCTACGGCTACACTTTTTCTCTTTGGTACCACGGATACCAATTATTATATATTTTTTGATGTTATATACAGGGTGTTCCAGCATGAAAGGTAAGTAATAGGCGATTGGACATCTGAGGGACCCCCGAATAAGCACCCCGTTTTTATTTTTTCGATAAGTAAAAAATTGAAGGTTTCGACAGTTAAGTAAAATAATAATGACCTAAAGAACAAAAAAATTAGTCCATGTTATTCAGTGCAAAAAGCTAACCTTAAAAAAGAGGACACATCATTTTCAGTCCCTCTCGGCCCCTAACTCAAAAAATGATAAGAGTAAAATGATTAGAGACCAGAAATAAATGATAAGTGATAAAAGATAAATGCTAAGACATAATTGATAAGAGATAAAAGAAAAGAGATAATTGGTAAGAGATAAATTATGAGAGATTAGAGATGAATAATAAGAGATAGGTGCTAAATGATAAGAGTTTGGAGATAAATAATTAGAAACAAGAGAAAATAAATAAATAATAAGATATAAGTGATAAGAGATAAATGGTTAGAGACTAGAGATAAGAAAAAAATGATAAGAGAAGAGTTAGGGGCTGAAAACGACTGAAAATGACGTGACCCCTCTTTCAAGGTGAGCTTTTTGCACCGAATAATAGGGAATAATTTTTTTTTGTTTCAAAGTCATTATTTTTTTACTTAACTGTCGAAATCTTCAAATTTTGGCTTATCGAAAAAATGAAAACGGGGGGTTTATTTGGGGGTCTCTCGGATGTCTAATCACCTATTACTTACCTTTCATGCTGGAACACCCTGTATATTATTATTATTGTTATTATTATTATGTTGCTGGCTTTTGCACGTATACTCGCACACGTACTTACGCGTTTTGTTTGCAGCTTTTGGCCCCGCATGACGAACCATGTCCTATCGCTCGTTGGCCGCCGACCGCGTGTACAAAGCGACCACGGACGACCTGCAGCCGGAGCGCAAGAACTCGGTCGGCACCGTATTTAAAAAGGCTTTTGGCACGCTAAGCTCCAGCCCCCGGCGCAGGCTGTCCGAACCGCTTATGCCCGGCGTGCCCGCAATCGGCACCGGCAACGTCAACACTCCACTCAGGTACGGCCCGACCGAAGGATCATCTCTTTACCACACACACACAACAATCAAATAATTTCAGTCGTTGTCGAGATGGATCATTCAATGGATAGATTCGACACGGACCCGTCTGTTTGAAAAAATCGAATATTAACTTACCACCCCCCCCCCTTCCTCGCTTCCGCCAATCGATAGAAGCCTACGAAAAAAAAAAAAAAAAAATAATGTCTAAAATTTCACACATCCCTAACTGTCGACTATGGGAACTGTCTATTGACTATGGGAAATCATTTTCTTTCATTCCGTTCAGAGCGCACAAGTTCGCCACAACAGCGGATTACCAGTAATTAACTTCTAAATATTGTTTTTCGCATAATCTACTCTGTGGTACTGCGGTATTGGGATGACCCGAGCACTTGGTTTTGTGAAAAAAAAAAATGGATTTGGTTCACTATTGCTCTGAGCCCACCGTGTTTTGAATATTTGATTATCTTTTTTCCAAACTAAAAACATTTTGATTAGTTTTAAAGTTGGAATTTTTTCCAATGAAAAAATACAATTTCCATGTTGAATCAAATGCAAACAATTATGAGGTTAGAAAACTTAGAGTTGGGCTAGGGGTTTTAAATTTAGTGATTTCCTATTCCAATAGGCTACTATCGATTGAAAGGTTAAGCGGTAGGAATAACAGTCTAATGTTCATGTATTATAAAAATGTAAAAATAATTACTTATTTCTTTAACAAAACTAAATTAGATTGATTTCCGTAACTACACGCAAACACTGGCGTGTATTGTATTTAACAAGAAAGCCGATCGGTCAATATTGCACTTGCGTGGCTTTACCAAATAAAGAAGGTTTTCAGAGAACGCCACGCCACGTTACATGTCCATAGTTTGTAACTAGTAGGGGTGAAGTTGGGATGACTTATCACCCTCGTGAATAGAGTTTAGTCCTGCCCTTCTGTTAGCACCTTTTCTTTGAATTAAAAAAAAAAAAACAAAATCAATAAGCATACATCAATTGCATTTCAAAAATTTGGAAATAATGTTTAAAGACTTTAATCGTCGCCCATATGGATGTTTTTCCCTCGACGCTGGCTGAAACTATGATGATTATTCATCAGTACAGTTATGGGGATTAATTTAGAGGTAGATTTTTAAGAAAAAGCAGCACAGATAATGTACTAATCTACTAATCTTTCTTCAGTATTTTATGTACGTGTGGCGTTCTCTTAATTAAATTAACTATAAATGTTAACTCACATTCGATCTTCAGTTTACACAGACATTATTTTAGACAGTACACCCTCTCTCTCTATATATATATATTTATTATGGTCAACTTAAAAGTAAAACTAATTTGGAAATATAACAATATAGATATCTATCCATTGCAATGGTTCCAAAGGTCGACAATTACATTTTTTATTGTCAATTTGTATTATTATTATTACTTTGAATAATATTGTTTGTTCTTGTAGAAAAATGCCTACATCCGCCATTTCCGAAGAAGCGTCTCTGTTGAGGTAAGTTTATGGGTGTTCTGTCTTGGCAAAAGACTTGACCGATTCACTTGTATTTCAGTGGCATGCGGTCGGAAACACTGGAAGAAGTGGAACTCACTGGAGTTCGTCCATCTTTGCCCACGGTTCGGAACTTTACCAGAGGCAATACAGGAGTCGAAGAGGTCTACGTGGACACTGACAACGGTCCGGTGTGCGTGGCTGTGCAAGGCGACCGATCTAGGCCTCCCATACTGACTTATCACGATTTAGGACTTAACTGTGAGAAATTAATCATTATCTTTGGACTTAGACCTATTGTTTTTACTCGAAGACAAAGAGTTACAAAAAATCTGATGTTTTTAAATTTTGATTTTTGCAGACATCACTAGCTTTCAGACATTTTTCAACTACAGCGAGATGCGCACCCTCGTGTCTAATTTTTGTGTATACCACGTGAACGCACCGGGTCAAGAAGAAGGGGCTGCACCGTTATCGGACAGGTAAGTCATATATATATATATATATTTAATAACAAACGGTACTTACACACAACAAGGGCTGGACTGTCTGGCATACCTTGAATATTATATTATGTGTTTAATTGATTAACAATGTTTCAGTTACGTTTTTCCAACCATGGACGAGTTGGCGAATCAGTTGGATCACGTGCTTAGATTTTTCAATCTAGAGTCTGTCGTTGGGCTCGGTGTCGGGGTCGGAGGAAATATTTTGGCGCGTTTTGCTTTAAAGCAGCCCACGAAGGTAGCGTAGAACCCATATGAGTTTTATTGTCTTGTAATAACTATTGTTTTTTTGCTGTGACAGGTCGAAGCCCTATGTCTGGTCAACGTGGTGTCGACTCACGCCGGATGGCTAGAATACGGTTATCAGAGATTGAACAGCAGATACTTGAAATCGAAAGGGATGACACAAGGAGTGATGGACTACTTGATGTGGCATCATTTTGGAAAGGTTTGCCGAGATTACTAAATCCCCTGCTGTTAAACGCTTACGACTCGTGGGTTAGTACACTAACCAATAACGTTGTTTTGTCTCGAAGGGCACCGAAGAGAGAAACCACGATCTGGCTCGAGTTTACAGGGAATATTTCGAACACAGCGTTCATCCCGGCAATTTGGCTGCTTTCATAGACTCCTACGTCAGGCGGACCGACCTGGGCATCAGCAGAAGTACGCCCACATCAGAGGGATGTCCGGCTGGTCGAAGGCTCAGCATGACCACTACGCTTCAGATGCCCATAATCAACGTGTGCGGAGCCTTGTCGCCACACCAAGAAGACACTGTAACACTCAACTCGAGGCTAGATCCGACGAAATCATCATGGATGAAAGTGAGTTGGCTTATTTTAACAAAGGTTTTATACTGGCCGGAAAACGCTAGTTTTACGCTACTAACACTAGACATTATAAAAAAAAAAAATTACACAAATAATAGTGAGTTAAGAATTCAAACTGCTCAATGGTATTAAAGGAGTATTCCTTGCATTTCGATCGAACGACCAAAACGCGTGCATTGAAACAAAATCGTGACGAATGTAGTTGTATGTTATATTAGGTTGAAACTACAGAATTAACTCGATATAAACTTGAATGTACTATATAATATATGTGTTGGCATTGTGTAAGCCTATCACCGGTTGGTTATTCATTTGTTTCAATATATTATGGTAGTGGAAAATCACCCTTCGGGACAGTCGCATTGACTGGCTTCCCGCAGGATGAGATCCGAGATTTTCTCGCCAATAGCTATGATGGTCGATATGGGATTGCCGTTGGGCTGGTACCGGAAAACCGAAGCGTCGACCACTCGAATGTTCTTCGTACCGATCACCTTAAGATCGAGATCTACCACCGCCGTCGGGTCGCCCGGAGGACCCATTTTACATGTGCCGGCATGGTGATTCTCTGGCCCGGTGTTTCTCGTTATCTTGCACACGTTGTAGTCGTACGAGCCAAACTCGTGGTTCTCGCACCCTTCCACCGGTTCCGAATCGATTTCCGCCCCGAAGGCCTTCAGCGCTGGCGTGTTCAACAGCTCCTGCACGAATTCGATGCCTTCAATGAGCGCGGTCATGTCCCGGGAATCGTGCAAATAGTTGGGCTGGATCAACGGGTAGTCCTGCGGGTTTTTCGACTGCAGCTTGATGTGACCGAAGCTCTGCGACATGAGAAACGTCGGCCGAGCCGTGAAGTACCTCTTGCATATGTTCCTCTCCGGGTCGGCGCATTTGCCGTCCGTCTTCGAGACGCACGAGCACGACTCGTTGTCGCCGTCGAAGAAGAACTGCAGGTCCGGCACGCCCTCCTTGGCGAACGAACTGCGGATGAACGCCGTCACCTGTGTGATGCCGGTGCTGGCCAAGGGTCCAGTCTTGTCGGACACGTACTCCAAGACGTCGCTCAACAGGGTCGGCCTGTGGTTGGTGTCGACGTCCAAGTAGAAATTCACGGCGATCGACAAGTGATGGTGCAGGTTAAAGCCGACCTTCAAGTCTTGCAGCACGTCGATATCCATGTCCATCAAGTGGTATTTGGGCCCGATGCCGGACAACATGAGCAGCTGTGCCGAGCCTATCACGCCGGCGCTCAGGATCACCTCTCTCCGGACTTTGGCGGTTTTCAGGTTCTTGGCGCGGTCCAGATACTGCACGGCCACGGCCGTCATGGTTTCCGGGTCTATGATCACTTTGGTGGCCAGTGTGTTTAACAGCACCGTCAGGTTGGGATTGTTTCTCTCGGGTCTCAGGTACATGCGATTCGTGCTGGCCCTCTGCCCGTCCTTGATCATCAGCTGTGCTCTGGTGAAGCCTTCCTGTTTTTTGCCACAAACGTCTATCGTATCGTAGCCCATTTCGTTGCCGGCGCGCAATAACAAATCGACTATGTCCTTTTTGAACGGGCAACGTGAAACCACATTAACACCGTCCGTGCCGTGGAATTCCTTTTCGATGCCGTCTGTATCTAGGTTTTGTTCGCATCTAATGAAGTACTCCAGAAGATCCGAGTATCCCCATCCGTCACAACCCTCGGCGACCCATTGATCGAACAACTGTGGCGACCCTCTCGTGTACATAGAACCTTATTTACACAGAGATATAACATCATTACCCGTGTTTGAAAATTACCAACGACCACAATTACCTGACATTCCAGAAGTACCGGACAACATTCTGCCCCGGGGCCAATTGCAAACAAAATTCGTGCCTTTACAAGCGTGGCTTTGAACGACCGTCACATAATGCCAATCCAAATCGGAGCATTTTGCTTCCATGAAGTAGGTGGGCACAGTAGTGGTGGTAGGTTCTTCGGGGCCGGCTTCGATAAGGAGCACTTTGTGTTTTTTACACAATTTCCCGGCCATCAACGCTCCTAAATGGCCCCATAACAATTGGACATGAAATTCGATAGTCTTTCAACGTTTTTTTTTTTTTACTACTATAAATAATGTAATTCGCTTACCGGCAACTCCACCGCCGATCACTATGTATTCGTACGATTCTTCATCGGGTATGTGCTGGTTTTTAAATCTGTTGCAAGCGTCGCTGGTCTTGCAATCGTTTCGCAGTATTCGATCTATTACGGGCATCATTTGATTGTAAGGAGTTTTGAATTGGCATGCCTTCGACAGGAAATCCGAATCCTCGAAGGTGCAACCGCAATTCGGAATGCCGTAGGACAATTGAAGGAATTGATCTAATACATATTATTATTAAATATGATACTCGATATCAGAGTTGTTTTAAAGTCGGTGGTCCGATAAAAAATATATGTTCACTTACCATAATCAATTGAGCTTCCTACAGTCAACAACAGTGAAAGTGTTGTACATAACAAGATTGATGTCATTTTCCCAACGTCGATGGGACACTGAGCTTCCGTCGGTTATGGATACCCAATTCGTTCAAAATGGTTGAATGCATATTAACCGATTATATATATATACATCATACATTTGATTAGAAAACGCTCACTTTCGGGCAGAAAGGGTTTAAAATACCTACGACTAAAATAATAATAATAATGTAAACACACATGTGTAATCGGATATTTGCCAAATAAACATATTTTTTTAAGCAAACATGCGTACACAATTTCAACGGAAAATGTCCTATAAAATATTATGCCAGAAACAATTGTTTGCACAACAATTTTATATCAATTTGACATGTTTTTATCGCTATTAAATTATATAATTTATCGAAACTTATAAGGCAGGCTTTCGCTGGTACAGTAGTATTAGGTTACTATCGTCTGGTCAAGTCAAATATTCGTTTTCTTCGATAAGTCAACATTTATTTTTTTCAGCAACAATAACCCTTACTCTTTTGTTAGGAGAGATTAAAAAAAATGAAGATATAACTTGGTAGTTCGTACTGCCTACCTACTTTATACAAAAAAAAAAAAAAAACTTTATTCAATTTATGTGAAAACACAAAACAACCATTTACACTTATATTTGAACATTTCCAAGTGTTTGAATATTTATAAACCTTTTTTTATAAAAACAAATCTCCTGTATACTTTTAAATACATTCTAACCGTCTGTAACGCCAAACGTTGGAAACGACTAATATTGATACCATATGAGTATAACTACATTAATTTTGAAAAATAACTGCTATCCCATGTTTTAGTTAATTAATGTAATTTAAGATGACAACGTGCCGAAAGGAAATGTTAAAATTATATTTATATAAATAGAAACGCGAGTGAAAGTTGTCGATCTCTATCAGATTTATTTTTCCAATGAGAGGGTTATCAAAGCTATTTAATTATTAATTTCATTACTTAGAAGATATAAAAAACAAATTGTGAACTTTGAAGTAGTTACTCATCCGTCTTAGTTGTATTTTAATTTATATTTTAAACATCCTTTTTTTTATTCGTTCCTAGAATATAGTAACGTTCCATAGAAATGACTTTGGTTATATTTATTTCAATAATTTTTAATTAAATTTTTTTGTCCTTTCTACAGGTTTCCGACTGCAGTATGGTGTTGGAAGAAGTGCCCCAAAAAATGTGCGAAGCTCTTCGGCTTTTCCTGCAAGGACTCGGTTACGGTAAGCCAACCCTGTCTTCGTGCACAGTAAAATAAAAAATGGAAGTTTCCACCCCTTTTAATCTGGTCTAACGCTTCAGCAAATATTATTATTAATATATATAAAAACAACGATAAAAGTCGGAGTACCGATTAAAAGGATTATTGTAGTCGTGACTAACTCGCATAATATATTTGTACGTTTTAAACGGTTTTTTTAGTCACTATGTGTCGTTTTTTTTTTTTTATTAATACGTTAACAACAATGGCACAATAGTGTGTGTAGGCGTTCGGGGACGACTTGTTCGTGTTTTGTCATTATCTAAAACGTTAGTACATTCAGATTTGTAATGATAATAAACATTTCTATAGATGATATTATTCATATTGTAATGTGCGTTTTTTATTTAATTCTAAAGCCACTGGTTTTATTTTGAGTATACAAAACAACTCTTTGTGTGTATTCAACATAACACACAGTGTTTGCAAACATGCAAACGAGTCATATTATAAAACAAGTATTTGTTTTGCACACACACACACTAGACCAATATTAACATATCACAATAACATTTCACGTGAGTGCAATAATTTATGCACTCATCGTAGCACTTCCAAAGTGTGTATGCTTTTGGTCGAGAAACAATCTTAAATCTAGAACTACCTATTTTCCAAATTAAATTGTAATACTAGTATTATAAAAAAATATATTACCTGTACTCCAATAAAACAATTTCAAACATTATGATATTAATATAATAATATAATATTTAAACACAATGTGTGTAATGGGGGTTTTTTTTCTTGAACTTAACACAAAATTTACTGTCGGTTCTTAAACATTGACATAGTTGTGGGATATTTGTTTTTATGATATATAAATAAAAGAATATTTTATGAATTAGTTTGATTTTTTAAATTAAACTGATATGATATCAAAAAAATATATATCTCATTATGATTGCAGTATGTCACTTTTTTTTTTTTTTTGAAAAAATTAGCAAAACAAAATGAGTAGATTTATTAATAGAATAATTATTTTTCGTTGTTAAATTTTGATCTTGGGTCAATATTTATTTCCCTCCAGTGTATTACTATATACATTTTGATAAAAAAAAAATCTGTCAAAATAATCTATTTCTTTTTTTTAAACTCTTTCATACATATAGCAAAAAATAAATACTAAATATGTACATTTGTGTTGCACATATATTGAGGGTACAGGGAAAACAGCCAATCAGTCACTTTAACAAAAGTGTTTTAACAATTCAAGCTGTAAAATGCTATAATTTTAGGATCTTTTCATTAGTTTTTAATATTTACATTATTAATCAATGATTAATAATCACTGTTATTAAATAAAAAAAATGGTTTTTTAACACAGTTATTTAAAAAAAAATTCTTTCTTATGTTTTTCTTGTACCTACTCTTAATGACATTATAATAATAAAAAAACTGCGTCTCTCCGAAGTTATTGTTGGATAAGACATGCACGACAAAAAAAAAATGGTAACTAACAGTGAAATGTATTATTTGTACTCAGAATTGGGAATTATTTTAATAATACAAAAATAATTAAATAATGTTTTGGTATTATAAAAATGAGTAAAAAAAAAAAATGTAATGTTAATGTTTTATATTTTTTATTCGATATTTAATTAAATTTTTTCCAACTCTTGGTTAATACGATTTAGACTAATAATTGTGTGTTTGAACAGATTGCTTTTAACAATACACTAAAATATTAACTAAATAAATTAATAACACTATTTTACATGCTATTATGTGTTATTCAATGATTTGTTTTTATATTTTTATGGTATAAATAGTTTAAACACAATATTCTTCCTAAATTTATCCTCAAACTTTTTTTATGTTTACCTAAATTTTTTAAGTGTTGTTATTTTCTCTGACAAACAACTTCCGCCTATGATTAACTAATCATAAGCAGAAGTTATGTGTGGGGAGGGGGAGGGGATACCTTCTATAAGCTAAGCTTGTGGTGAAGGCAGAGAGTTAAACAATTACAAAATCTATTATTGATATATTATTATTACATTATTAATTGCACTTCACTTAAATGTACAGTTAAAAATTGAGAAGAGAAAAAAATATATATTTGTGTTGTTACATAGATGTCACAAGGTTAGATAATAGATGAAAATTACCGTTCCTGAATATATGTTTTTTAACATTAGAGATATATTTAAATAAATAATGTATTGTTTTAAAGGCGTGGAATTATAGTTAATTAGGCGCAAAATAGTCCACAATTTTTTTTATTAAGTTACTTAGGGATAATATAGAGAATTTTCAGTCAGGCCACCCCCCAGTAATAAACCGTGTTGAAATATATATATATATATTGGTGAATAATCTTAATGTATTTGGATTAATGTTGAACAACCCTGTTGTAATTATTCAAATATATTGTTATTAACCACAGATGGTACAGGCGGTAATGCTAAATAAATGTCAGTACAATTATTTTGGTTCGTTTATTTTTAGTCATTACAACAAATTAATAATTTCAAATTTGTTCATTTTAGTGCGTCGTTTACATATTAGGAAGTTTAAATCGTTAATTATACACAATTTAGAATTTTTTTAATTTTTTTAATTAGACCGTTTAATAATGCGGTAAAGTAACAATGTTTACTTTTAGAGCTTTCCTTCGACTACATACAAAATGAGAGCATACCACTTTTTTTCTACCTCAGTCATGCGTTTTAGATAATATATTATTATAATGCACTGCATGTATGCAATTGCAATTCCTGAAATGATTTCCTTAATAGTAACGTTGAAAATACACTGTGTATGATGTCAACATATGAAACTATGTACAGTAACTCTTACTTGTAACCATAATAATATTTTTTGAATTGCCAAACTGTAAAAAGGTTTTTTACATTTAATGGAAATCTTAGCTTTTGTTATTAAGATATATAAATAACACCAAAATATACTTAAATAATTGGTAATTTGGAAAAATGTTTAACCCCTGCGGCCAAGGATTAAACAAAAGTATACTGTATTTATTATTTGGTGTGCGGATATGCTCATATTATGATTTAAACTTTAAACCCAGTTTCTTTCTATATTTATACGTATATTTCTATCACAGAAATAATATTACATTATAACAGATAATTAATAGAATCCTAAAAAAAAAAAAATAGATTAATTTATGATTGGTGATAATGAAAGATAAACCAAAAAAATTGTAATAATAAACGTTATGCAATTAAATTAAAAATAGTGTCGGAATATCGTCAAACGTATAGAACAAAAAATTAATTATGCAAATTATTGAAAAAAAAAACGATTGGATTATTTACACTGTTTTCGAAATGTGTCAAAGCGAATGAACTTTTACTTTTATCATATTATAAACTTGCACGTATAATTAGAGCCAGTTGAAAAAACTGATTTTTTAATTCAAAATTGAATTGATTTTTTTCGAAAAGTAAACGTCATTCGATTATTCTGACATTTTTTTTTGTTTGTTTTACTTTTTAAAACTTTTTTTTTTTGTAATCGTTTGAATAAAATATGTACCTTACCGGTGAAACATGTTTGAACTATTATTTTTTTTTTTTTTTGACTAAATAAGCACAACGTTTAAACATAATATGCACTTATATTTCGCCCAAATTTGAATACCCACCGACTTTACTGAAGTATTCGATTAAGTGTGTACCACTACACTTGGACACTTAAATACTACTAATAATAATAATTAAACATCAATAGGCAATATTGGGTGATATACAGAGTTGTAACTATAAATTAAATTGTACGTACATGTACAAACATTACAAAATTAAAATACATTTAAACGCATCGAATTTTATCATTTATTTATATAACATATATTACACATTACATAAAAAACAACAACTCGCCAATTACAAGCAAATGTGACACTGATACTGTTTTTTTACATACCATTAAAAGCTTTTTGATACATAATATTGTATGAAAATAATTAGCCGACATGTACTTGATACACAATTGTGGAATTCTTGATTATAAAATATATGAACTGTACTACTTTTTTTTTTAAAAATAAATTATACATTAATAGACTTTTCGAACCTAATCAGTAGTATAATGTATTATTATCAAATTAAATATTACACGCGTTATTTCTGAGGTAGGTCACTAATTCAGTTTTTATGATAAATAATATATCAACTCGATCGGCTAACACTTGGAATCGTCGATACCGTTGCACAAGTCATAGGTACATGCTATTATTTTTTAATTGAACAATTACGTTTGATCTATTATTATCGTTATCCGGTGTAATGATATTTTAACTTCTTACATTAATTGCATAATGTTTTCTAATAACGGTTAATAGAAACTCGATGTAAATTTGTCGTATACTGGTAAATCTCTTAGACCGTGCTATCTCATTGACATATTAGAGGGTGCTAAAATACCCCCTAAGCCCCTCCCTGTTCGCGCCCGCGGGCCTAGCATCCCCTCGGCTCTTACACGCGCCCCCCCCCCCGCAGGATTTTTCCGCATTTTGTTTGTTTTTTTTTTCTCATAAACTATTTTTTTTTTTTTGTTTAGAAAAATATTTATTTATCTTATTTTTGTTTTGTGTCCCGGACATGTGTACGATGTGTGCGAAACATGGCCAGCTGTGAGATTAGGCCGACCGCCTTTGACCGTGTCCAGATCAGCCGAAGGTAAAAATGACGATGACGTACTAGCCAATACATTTAGCGCACGGATGCACGTGTAGTTAACGCAAGCACACACACACACACACACACACACACACACACACACATACACACTCATACACTCGAATACATATACTTACAAACACACACACACACACACACAGACATTCAATCTATCCTACTCGGTGAAAAATTTTTTCTTAAAAATTATCATCATCTTGGAAAAATATGAACAAAAAAAAAAACCGTTCATACAATTTATGTAAGTGTCACACGCTTTGTACGATTGTCTTGTAACTAATTTTTGTTGTCGTTGTTGTTTTGTGCCTCATAAGTGTCTCTATAAGCAACCGGCTTTATAATATTTAAAAAAAAAAATGTCTGTTTGGGTAGTTTGGTAAACGATGGATATGAGCATTTTTTTTTTTTTTTTTGTTTGTATTTGCGCGCATGTCTTTGCCATAATAATAAAACCGCATAAAATAACAAAAATGAATAACAATGATGACACCGTGTTAGCTTTAACGTGCAAAATAGTCGTGTGAATTTACACGCAGAAAAACAGCTTTATCATATAATAACTATAGATACAGTTGGATTACATAATAATATTATAACAGTCTCTGTTTAGCCTAAACCAACTTGAAACGGTTATACCTAATAATAATAATAATTATATTCAACATTGATACGGTCGGATAATCTCGGATTTAGGCATTTGGTGTAGATTTTTACATGAAGATATTATTTTCTCAAGAAATAACAATTTGACAGTTATTAAAAATATATTTAAATATAAATCACAGCTATTTTTTTTTTACTGTAAAACGAGATGCATTGGCGGTATGCATTGTCACTGGTTCAATATTCAACAATGTTATTGGCACATGCAAGGTGTTTTTTTCTTTATAAAAAAAAAATCTATGTCATTTTATATAGTGACGTTCTGTCAACTATGACCGATGGATGATAACACAAACAACCGACGCCATTGTAAACTCAATTTTATCCATAGAAATATGTATACATTATAGCGGGAATATTGCATTAAAATGTGTAATGTGTTAACGTGTAATTGTTTTTAAATTTTAATTAAAAATTGTAAATTGCATTAAAAAAAGCACCATTATCGTTGGTTTTGTTCGAAAACATTTACTCTATTTGGCTATGGAATAATAATAATGATAAGAAAACATAGTTCTAAACACTTCAGCAAGATCAAATTCGAAAAATCTACACTCTTTACAAAAATTGAAATTTACATAAAAATAAAAATCATATGGCTAGTATTTAATATAGATATGATATATATAATAGGATCCAATATAGGCCTAGGTATAAAATAATAATTATGCTTTTATTCGTACATAGGTCTATATAGTTTGTAATTAATGCTATTGAATAAGAATACCTTCTCAGTGAAGCTAAAAATCACCATGTTGGACGAGTGAGAGTGCATACCGCAAATTAGGATTAGTATTGGATTTAAACGTTTAATAGGCAATACTGTGGTGTTGAGTATGAAAATATTATTAATTTCAATTAGAAACGGTAAGTATCCATGTTAGTTAGTATAGTTTTTAGTTACTACGTTTTAATTAAAAAGCATCTCTGCGGATCAGCACGTCCGGTCTTTGTGTAGTTGATATGTGTCTGTATATGAAATTGGCTCATATATATTTATACATATATATATATATATATATATGCCTGTTGTGCAAATTAGTTTAAAAGGCTTACTGTTAAAAAAAAAACCTATTCGCTTTGTTCTCCCACGCAGCTTGATTATATTAGTAGTATGAAATAAGCAGTAAAAATCAAGTACAATTTTCTAGCTATTTTTATGCTATTCTAGGCTATGTTTGCTAATTAGTGATGTATTATTATACACCGTTTAAGTGCATACGAAACGTCGATAGCATAGATTAGCCAAGATTTTAATAATGCAACAATAATCTGTACACTAATGTTATTGTCTTGAGCCATCATTTACAATATACATACAACGTCATATATATTACATAGTAATATACAATAAGGCATGCATGAATAATATGTTTTTTTTTTATATTCATGCACAGTACACTAACATGCAATTAACATAATGTTATTATTATCGAGTGCGTGTAATTATTTTTTTCCTAATTAAATGTATTGCTTTTTGAACGCACGCGGTTATTATCTACTGTTTGTGTAAGCATCTCTCTCTGTTTGCTTGGAATATTGATAATAGTGCTATAATAATAATATTGCAACCGCATGTAGTTGTACAACAGCTAAACGATGCTGTTGTCACTGTATAGGCGCACTTCAAAATACATATGCCATCCAATATTTTCCCATAAGTATACTTGAAATTAATGGAGTTTATTTTTAGGATTTATCAGCAGGTTGATAATTTGCTCGCTTGACGTACCTAAGAAATATCTACTATTACTTTTACAGTATATTTACCATAACAAAAGATTATTTATATTTTCAAGGAACCCATAGTCCATGGTCAAATCCATAAGTCTTACCATAAAGTACACACATCTTTTACCCTAGATCTGATCAGTTCTGGCTTTTGGAGTTGAAACCTAAACTGGCTCTCGTTTGACAAAGTTTCGGTTCAAGAACACACCTATTTTTATAAACGGTTTTCAACATAAGTGTCTCGGATGTCCAATTTCAATTCGAATTGCGCCTATACCTAGTGTTTTTTTCTTTTGAGCTTTTTTTTTTTTTTGTGGAGCAACACTCAAATACGGTCATGCTTCTAGTGTAGCACTATCAAGTCTAACGGTCAAAATATGCGTTTTCTTTCAACAGCCATAGCAAAGGCGATGAAGCAGTCACATTCAAAAGACAGTGTTCGCAGTTCGCCGTGGCCGTTCAGAATCACCGAAAACCCATTGACAGCGTGATTCAAAAATTATTTTAAAATTTCAGACGAAAGCGGTCGGTGCTAAAAAAAAAAAAAAAAAATAGCAAAACAGTTCTACAATAATAAGTTTTATTAGATGGAAAAAACGCTATTTACTATTATACGTAATATAAAAAAAACCCGTTGTTGCTGTTATACAAACAATAATCATATTGTTGCGCCTCGTTAATTAATATACATAATGTATAATTGATAAAAAGTGATTACTATTGTCCCTATTAGGTGTTTATATTGGTTATAATATAATAATAGTATTGTGTTTATTTTTTTGGACAATATTATCTTGTTATGTTGTTTTATAACGGTGTAGATTAAGTAAGAACTCATATCATAAGCTTTAGATATTTCACATGGTCATTTTTTAGATGTACGACCAAAAAAAAAGTGTATGAGTAAAAAATAACCCTTGATATTATAACGATAATATAATAATAATTGTTACAAATCGCCTAAAAATAGTTAGATGTATACTATATGACTGCACGATACGCCCACGCTTAAAAAAACAAATTATTTTGTATTTTTTTTTTTTGGTTGTTAATTATTGATGTTAATAGATTGGTAAGTGTTGCTGTTATATATATTAATCGGATATTGTTGTATACACACAAAGGACGTTACCGTTTTTTGATGGAATGTGATAAGTAACAATAACAATAAAAATGATATATACTTATTTGTAATAATAATTGTTTTAACCATTTTTAAATTATATTATTTACGAAATAACATTTTATTGGTATACTTATGCCAATAAATATATAAAATATTTACATGGATGAACTTTTTTAGTTGCACCTGACCAACTCAACATAATATGATATCTCTGGTTAAACTGTTGAGTTGATAATAATTTGTGTGTTGCATTGACTCTTGTAATCAACTGATTGTGTAATCGATACTTTGGAAGTAAATGAGAGTACAGTGAATAATAAATATAAATAGAGTATAGACAGTAATGATTAAAACGAATTTGTATATTTTATCACGGATTCAGTTTATTTGTATTGTAAACAAATTACACCACGACAGTCGATCTCATCGCCAATGACGGCATTTGGTTGGCACACTTGGCACACTCGTCTTGAGAACTTTGGCAGACCTGATTTTGTTGAATCAATTGCTGTTTGATGACAACGGCCATGTTGTTTTCCATCATTTTGTTGAGGTTCTGTTGAACGTCCATTGCCAAATCCTGATTGTCGGCGATGTTGAATTTAAGACCGTTGAAATTGACTTTAACGTAAGCAACGTTGAATTGTTTGTCTCCGTTGATTTGGACGATGTTCTCCAAAACGGCGGTGGCCACGATGTCGTTGGCTTGGAAGTTGACGTTCTTGAAGTTGGCGGATCGTTGTTGTTTGTTGACCAAGATGTCGGAAGTCCAAGTGGGCTGCCTGGACAAGACAATGTTGACCATCACTCTCATACCGTTTCCGGATTCGATTTGGCGCACGGACACGGACTTGACCACTCTGGACTCTTTGGATTCCGCTTCGTTCCAGTTTTGGGCGTTGACCATCGAAACCTCGAGGCCGGTGTCCTTGTCGACGATTTGCATGCCGTTGTTGGGACCCAAAGGCATGTTGAATGCTGATTGGGCTTCATTCTTTAGACATCCGACGACGCCTTCGTTGGTGATTTTGATCATTTCGTTTTCGATAGATCTCTCCAAGAACTGCATGTACCTGGATCCAGCGTTTGCGATCGACAATTGCATTTTTTGATCTCGAGAAAAGTTCATTTCCGCGTGTTCCGTTTGGAATACAGCAATGTTTTGGTTGCTGTTGTTCAGTTCAATTGAAACGAGGCCGCTACCGTTGGTGAATTTCACGTTGAACGGTTCGTTGTTACCACCGGGCATCTTCATGTTGCCTTCGGCTATCAACTTGTTGAACATGTAGTCGACTGCCAACTAAAAACACATTACAAAACACATTTTAACAAACATTTATTTTAAAACAACGTCGTTGAAGGTGTTAAAAAATATTAGTTTCAGCTTCGATGCGGAGCTGAGAAGGTATTGGTTTTACAATGATGTGTTTTTATTTTTGTGTCTGGACCCACGGTACCTCGTAAACCCCTCTACCGATTTCTTCGTGTAGCAACTCTATAGATCAGAAATCATACCTGGAAGGTACTTTGTCGGGCTAAAAATTAAAAAACTTCACCCCTTCCCCATCAAAATCGAGAAAAACACCTAAAAAATTTACAAATTTTTCAACTCAAAATTACGATGCTCTATAACTTTTTTAAAAATAGTCGAAAACGTTCCAAATTTATACGAATTGTTTTTCAAACATAGTACTATCGATAAACATTAACAAACCAAAAAAATATCATAAACCCTTTCCCTTAGAAGGGATAGAATTTTTTTCTTTATATCACTTTTTCAAGCAAAGTTGTAGAGATTTAGATGTGAAAATTAAACCAAAGGTAGATCTAAAATGGAACTATAACATATACAATTTTCTCAAAAATCTGTAGTAAATTTTTTTTTATTAAGGAAAAACCCCAAAAATAGGGTAAATTTACACTTGGCCGTAGTCTGAGTTTCTAGGTTGCTATGTGTGTGTGTGTGAATCAACAGGTAGTGAAAATATTTTCATTTTATTGTCAATTACGATATGTGGATAACTATGACAGTACATTTTTATAGACAGACGATCGACCCTTATCGTGTCCACCCTGCACAAGACTGAATATTAAATTTTAAGTGCATCATTGCTGGTCCCACGATATCTTCTAAACCACTATAACTAGTTTGAACACGCTATCCGCAGATTCGCATCGAAGCGTTTATTTAAAAGTGATTTTATCACATTCAGTTACAATAAAATCTGTAGACCCGTCCCCACTATGCCCCGAACCCGCTGTACTGGCTTTTTTTGAATTTTTTTACTCACGTTGTTTGCTACTGTGTCCATTTCGATGTTCTTGATGATTCCTGCATCGAGACCGTTGATTTTATTTTCGTTCATGTTCAAGTACTGATGGTTTGGCATGGGCATGATCATTTGTTTTAAGGCCGCAGACTGTTGGCTCTGTTGGCATTCGAGCAAACCGTTTCGGTTGGTGTACTTTGCGACAATAGCGTTGATCTTCGCGACTTTCTTGGCAATATTGTGTCCGATTATGTTGGCAGCATCGTTTTCGGCATTGCTGTTGACCTGGACATAGTTTTCCTGAGAGTTTGATTCAATGGATAACGAGCGTTTGTATTGTCCTGTATTTTGTGAGTACACTTTGCGGCTAATGGTCGCTATTAAAGTTACCAAAAAGTAAAGAGTAAGTAAATCATCGCTATAAAACTTAAAAGTACTATTTTTAGTATTGGATTTTCCCACGAGCTGTATTGAATTACTACACCATACTTTTTTTACCATTATACTGCTGTTTATTTCAAATAGTTGCAATTATTCGAGAGGTGTAATTTATTTATTAAAAACAGTCCAGTCGACCCTTACGCGACTAGTAGGAAATCTAAACGTTATTATTAATTTAACTAATAGTTAATACACTTACAATATTAGACGATATTTTGTATATTCTAATTATAAGTTTTCATATTTTATTTTTATTAAAAAAAAAAATCCATTTTGTAGTCGGCTATATGATAATTTATGAATACCGTTTTTAATTTAATTGTTGTTTTTATACAGTGTGATCTTAATTTTTTACAATTTTTGTCTGTTTTTAAACTCCTCCCAACTTAGTTTTCTTGACAGTAGTTTTTGAAACTTAAATGGTAACAATGGTTTAATACTACGCTCCACCTTTCCTCCTGCCCTAAACTTGAAACTTTAATGACTTCAAAAATAGTTAACCAAAACTAGTTATCGACCAGTCAAAATGTCTAGTACATTATTCTAAATTTAAAAAGTTAATGAAATATATGCGTTACCATTTAAGTTTCAAAAGCTGCTATCAAGATAACTAAGTTAGGAGGGAGGTAAAAATAAATAAAAAGAGTTGTGAAAAACTGAGATCAAATTGTACAAAAACTATATGGGAAAAAAAAACATTTAAATTTCTTAATTAACCCTATGAGATATTGAGTGGCCCATGATAAAAAATCACCCTGTATTTAATGTATATCACTCTAATTTTATTCTGTTTGATCATGTTAACAATTAATTTAAAAACCGTATTGATAAATTAGAGTTAATTCTTGTTAATGATTTTAGGGTTTTTTTAAAAAAAATATAAATATTTTAAATAGTAATGTATATTTATAAATACTTGTGAATAACTACCGAATACTCTATTTATACGGGCTTTTGTATTTATTTTTTTTTTAAACTACAAACAACATTAAATTCGAATTTCGTGTGTTTTTAAATGGTATCTATTGAAACAAACTAATAAAAACCCGTAAAAACAAATGAGAATAAAATAATACCTTTTAATGTACAAAACACAATGTATTTTCTGTAAACACAGAAATAATAATTATAAATAACATTGTTTTTACCCAAAATTGTTTCAAAAATCTATTCTGTTGATTAATTATTTTAATGATAATTTGTAACTTACTACCGGCAATGGCGACGGACACTAAGCCAAAAGCAACGACAACAGACAACAGCTTCATCTTGATGGAATAATTTGTTCAACGGACCACGAATGAATGAATACAATACAAATGCAAGTGTGTGTGCAGTTTATATATCAAAACGCAATGCCCCTCGATAACCAAACAAGCGATTATACGGCAAACTCTGAGTATTGAGTTTTTAATTTTTTGTAAAATACACATATTGTGTGCCGGTTTAGTGCGAGACAAGCACAATTAGCACAATGATATACCAGACGTGCGATTAAAATTAAACTACACGTGTAGGACTTTCTGGTTTGAGTTTAAGATAATCGTTTTTTTTAATTCATAGTTAGCGGTTGATTTCATAGTGATTAGTAAGTACCGTGTTAGAGTCGTTGTAAAGACAGCAAAGTATAAAAATAATATTTCAAATAAACCGCGATAAAAGGTACTTAATACTTTAGGTCGACCTTAAACATTTCAAAAAGAGTTTGAAATTATTTAAAATGCATTTTTATTCGTTTTTGTTCTAATACATTTTCCGGTAATAATACTGGCAGACTGAATCTTAAAGGACGTTATTTTAAATCAATTAGTTGGTGTGAAAACAAATTTTAGCATTTATTTATACAACATTAAATCAGTTTCGGGGCTCAGCTAGTTGTTCCATTTGCAACGACTTACATTTTTAACCCATTAAATGATATAATAATTATAGTTGAAAATCGCGTATCATTGTTCTATTTGAAAAAAAAAAATGTAGATATGCTATATTTAGTCTACATATATTATTGAAGCTCACTTAGTTACTGACAATGATCAGTTATTAAATAGATTGTATCCGTCTAACTGGAGTTTTGTGATGTAAAAGAAGTTTTAATCAATTTCGACCATGTTAATTATTTATTTACCGAATAATTTATACTAGCTTCAAAGTGTTATTTTAAATTTAAATAATTTGTTCTATGATTAAAAGCCGTTTCAGTTTATTTTTGACCAAAAAGCCTGACAAAATTTCAATTAAATGCTAACGCATACATTTCATTAACTTTGTAAATTGAGAATAATGTACTGAACATTTTGATTGGGCGATAACCGGTTTTGAATGACTATTTTTAATGTTTTAAGAGTTAGGAAAAGTGGTTGGGAAATGCGTGCAGATAAAAATGATACTACACTCCCCACCTTTCCTCCTGCCCTAAACTTGTAACTTCAATAAATTCAAAAATAGCTAACCAAAACTGGTTATCGGACCCGGTCAAAATGTTTAGCACATTGTTCTCAATTTAAAAATTTAACGAAATAATTCATGCTTTTCCATTTAGGTTCCAAATGTTTCTATCGAAAAAACTAAGTTGAGAGGGGGGTAAAAAAAAATGTGAGAAATTGAGATCACATTGCAATAAAAACACTGATATTGAGTGGTTCGCGGATAAGTTGATCACCCTGTATTAAAAGCCAATTTTTTCACATGAAAAAAAGCAAAACATCAAAAATCTGTTTCCTACGTGACATTGGAATATTACCAAAAAACCGACCGGATGCAATTATCTTATTGTTTAACGTTATCGTTTGAAACAATTAAAAGTTTACTTTGTTTTCAATAAACTTTTTTCTTCAAGCTTTTATTAACAACATGGTACATTGGTAAGGAGACCGATTTACACATAAGATGATATTATGTAAATCATTCGCGGTTTTATATTATTGTTTTTTTTTTTTGTTATTATATTAAAAGAAAAACTAAAAAACTGCAAAATTGTTTAAAAATAAATTTAGTGTCTTACGTGGGGATCACTCTGTATATTATAAAATAATATACAATTTGTCAGTACAATTAGTGCGAGATAAGCGCAATTTGCACAATGATGCCAGGCGTGCAATTAAACTACACGTGTTGATGAATTTTCTAGTTTGAGTTTAAGCTTATCGTTTTTAATCATTCATAGTTAGCGGTTGATTTCATAGTGATTAGTAAGTACCGTGTTAAAGCCATTGTAATAAGACAGCAAAGTAGAAAAATAATAATTCAAATAAACCGTGATGAAAGGTTTGACTGAATACGGGTTGACCTTAAACACTTTAACAAGAGTTTAACGTTATTTAAAATGCATATATTTTGTTTTGTTCTAATACATTTTAGGTGCTATATTTAGTCGTATACTATTAAAGCTCACTTAGTAACTGGAAATATAAGGACAGCAACCACCTCATGGAAAAGAGATTCTTTGCTATATAATTTTGGCCATTTGACTTTATAATGAAGCTAAACTAGACTTGAGATCATCAAACAATCTTAATCAGAGTAGCAGCGATTAAATTGTTGTGCATTATATCATCATCGTGAAATCGCACCAAAGAAGGCACCGAGGGGATTTGAGTATACGGCCTAATACAAAAGACTTGAAAGGCGTATGTCCTTTCTGATTTAAAATGTTTGGTGCAACTGAACTCATAATTCCTTGCAAAATGCAGATGCAGCCGAAAACACGGTGAAGCAGTGATGTTAATAGCGGTTACTCCTTAAAGTTATAAGGTGCAATCAAAACAGCAACGAGTAGAAGGTGAAGTCGTGGCAAGGAGCAGAGGTAGACACGAGATTGGAAGTTGTGACATCAGACATAATGTAACATAGAACGTACTTAAATCAACTGTACCGCACTCGGCAAGATTGTTTTGGATTGAGATAAATGATGTAGACTCACGTGAAAAGTTGCAAAGTTTGTACAAGTTAACATGAAAAATGGCCCTACGGGTAGTTATTAAGTTATTAAAATGTTTAGCCTGATATAGTACCTTACAGGTATAATAGCTAGGTACTAGCTTTTCAGTTTTAGTTTCGACTTTATTTCTTATACATACGTTTAAAAACAGAACTTCATAATACAATATAATGTTGTATAACTTAGGTTATAACCTATGTCTTAAATAACAACAAAAAAATGCCTTAAAACACTGTCTGAGTGTAAAATTTAACTTTGCTATGTTAAAATTCAGAAAAATTCCAAATGTAAATTTTTTATATTGGTCTAAAATATTAAAAATTTAGGATTCGTTTTACAATATAAAAAAATGAGTTTTTTGTTTGTACATTAAATCACACGATCTGTATGGTCTGTCTTATTATCAAAACATTTATAAATATTCCATAAGAGATGAAGTTTTTTTAGTCTTAAGAATATCATTTATTTTCTATGCAATTATAAAACTAAATTCAGAATATTGACAATTGCCCTCCATTTATAATTGCTTAGAGTATAATAAATAAGTCGATTTTGAGGAGGTTGTTTTTGTATATTGGTTGGTTAATGCATATGTGTATGACTAACTGTGTATGGGTAACTGTTTAAACAAGAATAAAAAACATCAAAATAATATGTTTTCTTCTGATTTGAACGAATAACCCAATTTAAAATGTGTTTTCAATGCGTTATCGTGTTAAAAGCAAATAAACGTGTATTCAAAAAAGTAAAACAACGATAAACCCATATAATATTTTCAAAAAGTTTAAATTGAATATAAAAATAAAATAGTAAAATTATTCATGACCGGATGCGAAAATTTGTAGGCGGCCCAGATTAATTGTAGCCTTATAGATGCAAATAAAATACATTGGTAAAACTATAATTATCGTTTTCGTAATAACTATTATTTGTTAATTATTTAGTTCATATAAATGTTGACAGAAATAAGTATTTTTTTTAAATATTTGGTACACACTACATTTATTTAAGAGTAGTTATCGTACAGTATTATTTATTATTTATATTGTTATTTTGCTGTTCATAGGTTATGTACTAATTGCAAATTTAAAAAAGCCAGTACAGTAGGGCCGAGGCTTAGTAGGGACCAAAAACTCGTTACCCTCCAAAATTTAAATTTAAAAAAAGGCAATAGGGCTAAAATTTAGCCGGGGGGGGGGGTGTTTTGAACCCCTGCACCAGCCGTTTTAATAATGATCCCGCACAGGGCTGTTTATTATGATATTTTAATTTTCTACATTAAATGAGTGCGTATAGTATGGCATTATATAACGAGGGGAACTGGTTTTATTTTTATTTTTTGTAATTCCAATTTTTATGAATTAAGGGCTGAAAAACACGGTTTTGTTTTGTCCTTTTATGAAACCGAAAGTAACATTTAAAAAACACTAAAAAGAATCGAACAGAATTGACACTGACATGCAGTGTCAGTCACGATATCGGCGTGGAGTCGTTCCAAACATACAATACTTCAAGGTCTTTTATATAATAACGCATTTATTAGTCCGAAAAAAAAAATACTATAGAGGAACTACTTATGAGTGTGTTAATTAATGACAAAATAAATAAACTCAAATGTAAGTAAGTCCGATTTTAATATTTTATTATTTAGCGAATTTTCAAAAACTGTAGAACAAGATACTGGAGTATCTGAAGGAGTAGTAAATCACCTAGGTATCATAGTATGTGATCGCAAACAAAAAATATGCTTGCTGTTTAAACAAAAATATTTTGTAAAAACATGTAATATATTAGGAACATTTGTTCATTTTCATTCAATTGAAAACGGGCATTTGTTAAGAGATATTCATTTATTCATTTTGTTCCTGAATTAAACATTAATAAAATGTACAAATTTGCTATTTTGATAATATGGTGTTATTTAGCTGCTAATAACCCTGTACAGAGCTATCAAATTTCGTCCGAACTTTGTGCTGCTACCTCTGTACAGGATGGTCCTACCGAAGACAAAGCTGCTACCTCTGTACAGGATGGTCCTACCGAAGACAAAGCTGCTACCTCTGTACAGGATGGTCCTACCGAAGACAAAGCTGCTACCTCTGTCCAAGACGATCCTTTTACGGTAGTAAAGGTAATGTTTTATATTTTCACAGATAATAAAAATGTATGATTTTTTTTTCATCCAAAAACTTTAGCTAGGGAAATAAATACTTTATTCTTGATTGAAAAATGTATTACGGATAAATAGTTAATTTAATCTATTAATGAATGAATAATATAATAACAGTTCATTCTTTATTCGTGATTTATTCAATTAAATATTCAATCAAATAATACTCCTATTTTTTGTATGATATAACTGAAAAAAATTTCAGGAACTAGACCAAATATTCTATGCCTACG